CCCCAGCCGCTCCCTCTCCCGGGCCCGAGCTTGGACTGCGTATCCATAGGGCATGTGGGTGTTGCACCCAGAGCTATCTGCACTCACCATTGCCACCTCCATTTTGCAACTGCTTTTTTCGGTTTTTTAATCGCTTACTGCAACAAGGTTTTGCTGTATTTACAGTGGAACTTTAACTTTCGTTAGAAAGTTCAAATCCATTTGCATTTGGAGGACAGTCCCCTGGGCACTGAGCACGGCAGCATGGTGGTAACACTGGATCTATGTTTTGGAAAACCACAGATCTGCATTTTCTTGTTCTCTGGAATGTCTGACACGAACTACTGTTTTGCTAATAAGAAAAGATGAAAGTCTCAAATTGAACCAGGGAACAGCTGAGACCTTGTGCTTTCATCCACCAAGCCCCTTTATTTTCATTTAGCTCCTGCAGCTATCACAGATCTGATCGGAATCATGACTGCCTCACAGGCTCTAAAGGCTGCACTCATCAGGAAATAAAAAATGCAAATCAAAGGGTACCTGTTCTTCACAGATGGTTTTAGTTCATCGTTGCAACCAAATGTAAATAGTCTCTTTCCTCATTATTAACTCCTGGTAATGCTTTGGCCTAGCAAACTTACTGTTTAATATCATTACTTGGGGAGTTGAAGTTCATTCCAGCCATCACTTCATTTACACAGTGAGGAGGTCTTTGCAAATCCTTTCTTCAGCCTGACAACAATGTCTCAAACCTGGGAGCAGCACCCAGGGCATCAGCAGCAGTGGTAAGAGGAGGAGGGGGAGGAGGAGGAGGAGGAAGAGGAGATGAAGACTGAGAAACTGGCTGTGAGGTCCCCATAGGACATAAGGGAGTGGATGGGTCACCCTTTGGTAATGGTCATGCAGAAGAAGCACTTAACCTGAGGCACATGCACAAACACACAAAAATAAACAAAACAGAAAGGGAAAAGATTGGATTGTTTTCCTAAAAGGTCACACCGATCAAATGAAACTGTGTCATCTATTGCCACGGCATTCAAATCTTCCCCTGCCCACGCTATTCACACTTCTACATTACACACACACCCACATCACATGCACAGAGATCTTGAACGACTCTGTGGGTAAGGCTGTGGGTGGGTATGTCACATATATATAGACAGCTACAAAATCCCCACCCATGTAAGCACTTGCATCCATACACAAACATATGCATGCTGCTGAAACACCAACACACAGAAACACTCAGAAAAACACTGCAACACACAGTGCATTCAGGTCTTGGAGCACATACGTAATAGATACACCTACACAGATCAGGAGGAAACGTTAAAGAACAAATGTATCTACAGAGATACAAAGCTTTTGTTACATTTCTAGAAAATGGGACGTGTAAGGGATTTGTTATCACAGTGAACATTTCATTTGGTGAGAGGCACGTACGTTGCTCACCCGAGTGAAAATACCGTGCTACAGATAAACCAAGAAAACAACTGCAGGTGCACTGAAGCAACATCCACATGCAAACACGGACAGAAAAACACACAAATCTCTCACCCCCCCTTGGAAACAGAAGCCTCATTTATAGCCACATCTATCGATACACGAGAGGAGCCGAACAGAAACTATTAAATAACGCTATTCTTAAAACGTCTCATGCAGAAAACGACCTGAAAAACGCTGTAATACTCACCGATCCTAGGCAGAGAGAGAGA